GAAACATTTAAGTGTGACAAACATGCAAAAAAATAAGAAATCAGGAAAGGGGCAAACACTTTTTCACACAACTGTAGATAACAGTTGTTTGCTGCTTTATTAATGCTCTGAAGGTCGTATCGAGAACCTTTAAACTTAAATCATACTCTTATACAGATACACATGTGGATATTATTGTGCAAAATGGTACATAAAGGTAAATGTCAACAGTTGTGTAATTTTCTGTAGTTTTTCCTGGCCCTGATCCCAACATGGAGAGACAAACCCGTGGAGTGTTATCATTGATATTTGGCAAGTTGGAATCCACATGTTGGGGAAGCATTACATTCTGATCAGTTCATGAAGGAAGCCTTTCTGAGGATTTCCTCAGACTGAGATGACAAAATCCACATAGGTTTATTATCAAACTACCAGGTCAACGTTTGGAAGACAAGGTGGCTGAAGATGAACAAAGAAAAGGACGTGAAAGCATTAAAGGAGACTTTGAATGCGATGTCCTTCAACAGGACCTCCACAGGGTAATGGTCACTAACCTCCAGCGCCTGAACAGAAAGCACAGAGGAAACAGTTTAGCAACCTCAGCACACATCTATAGAACAGAACTTGGGATTTATTTCGGGTATTTGTATGGTTTACATTTTGTACTACCTTGTCATTTGCAAGTGCCTTCATCATTTGAATGATGAAAAGAAATGTTGTAGTTACCTGTTCCTCTGTGAGTCGGTATTCCACCTGGAAGTTAAATGGGCTGGCTGAAAGGGGCACAATTGCTCTGGCAAACCTTTCCCCGTGCACAACGATCCTGTTGTATCACACAGACAGAACAGACCATAATACACATGTTAGGGATGTTTTCAAAATATGAGGGCATGTTAAAGAGTTAAGGCAAATTGTCAAACAGCAATTTAAATGGCATATTTTCAATGGTGATGCCTAACGTCAGCTTTTTATTTCCAGTGATTGCATCTACACTTCAAAAATCAAGATGTTATCATTGACAAGCTCTCAAGGCAGCTCTACTCCTTTGTCCTTGCATGTTGGACTGAGGACAGACTGAACACTACAGTGACCCACTATTGCCAGGTACAAGTGGTATTACAAGACAGGACGGGCCGGTTAGCATGCTCATTTCACAAGATACCTCTGCAACACAATACATAGATGTCTTTGACAAGACTGAAACCTCTTCACAATTTTTCAAACTACAATTATGACCAGATCCGACACATTGCACATGTAAGAGTGTGACTTCACCTGTCGTAGGTGCAGGAGGTGGTCGATCGCACAGTGGTGTCGGCCTTTTCTGGAATGAGCCAATAGAGGTTTTTCTTTGTAAGCAGGCGCACATTCTTCCTGTTCTTCTTAGCGAGGTAGCCGCAGTCAGCGTTGAAGTCCCCGAGAAGCATCACATTCTGCTCACACACACACATGCACAATGACACTGATCGTGAGGCTCCAAAATCATTATTGGCTGGACTTTGAAACTGTGTTATTTAAAAGGAAAAGTGTCTTACAGTTCTAGTAACCATTGACATTAAGCAAAATGAGCTTTTACCTCAGTTTTCCACATCGTCTTCACATGTTCCAATACGTCATAGAGTGCGTCCAGCTCTTTAGTGGTGTTGGTTGGAGTGGTGTGCTGGGGTATGAGGACAAACTCCCTTATATCTGAATACATAGAAAGGGAGGGAGGGAGGATGCAGCAGAAGGTGTTTATGTGCCTCAACATCACCATGCTTCTCATTATTATAGAGGGGAATCCTGAGTGTGTGAACTGACCTGTCTTGGGGGCTTTGAAGCGGACAACAAAAGGCTCTCTGGAGAAAGCGTCTACATCTCCGGGTCGTTCATCTGGGTACTGATACTGACCGGTGAGACTCACTGTGTCAGTCCTGCACACGGTCAGATGTTTCACATTAAACATTGCTGCCTGCACTTAGGCTGTCTCAACATTTTGGTGAAGCGTTGAAAAGTAACAGGAGTTCCGCTCACCTGTAAACAAACACATACTGCTCCTGGTAGGAGGCGGACCTGCCCAGTCTCTCACTGGACACTGCTTTGTAGTCGTGTTCAGTGTCATACCTGAAAGACAGAGAAGTGATGCATCTCTGGATACTGCTGTTTCTCTCACTGGGCTGATGTGACTGTGCAGTCGCGTTTACTCACTTTATTTGTGTGTGTGTGTGCGTGTACTTATATAGCTATCTTTGTGAAGACCAAGTATTAGACCTTCAGAGTGAAGACGTTCCCGTTGCTATGGGACAGACCATCAAAGGCCTGTTTGAGGGTTGAGGTTTGGTTTTAAGGGTCAGGTTAGAGCAGAGGTCGGCAACCTGCGGCTCTTCAGCCCCTCTGTTGTGGCTCCCTGAGTCTACATCCACACTAATACATTTTAAAACGAAGATGATCTCCGTCCACACGAATATCACATGACTATTCACGTACACTGGGCATGCGGGTGGTTGCCGGTGTAAACAGGAAGTAGATTGGTTGCTCAAAGCCGCTTACGTGACTTCAGACAGCAGCTCCGTAGGTCTGATAACGCCGCTGGACACGCTGCTCGCTCCAATAACAGCTGCTTCCTCCGTAATAATGCAAATGGACCATCATTTACTAACTGAACATCATGCTGTATTGAAGAAGACTTGAAACTAGAGATTGAGACATAAACTCATGTTTACAATGTTTACTGAGGTAATAAATCAAGAGAGAAGTAGAGTCATTTTGTGTCGTGTGTGTGTGTGTGTGTGTGTGTGTGTGTGTGTGCGTGTGTGTGTGTGCATGTTATTAATCACCTGTTAAGGCGGCTGAGCAGCAGTGGTAAAGCTTTCTGTTGAGTGTCTCTCACTTCCTGAAGCAAACACACATCACAGCGAGCGATGATCTGGAACACGGATTACAGCAATGTGGAGGTGACTATCATTGTGATACACAGGAGTGAATGTTGCATTATGGGTATGAGGATACTAGCTATGCTATTGCGTGTGGATACCATGGTGTTCAGCCTACCTAGACCATGGACTAAGAGAGCTGGATACGCTACTCACGCTTAGCTTTGCTGACAATTTGTCCTACTTGACCGTTTACATTCTGTTAAATATGTTTCTGTTTAGTAGCACCTGTTGTGTTAATAGAATATAGCAAATAAGTTATGCTACATACTGAATCCATATTGAAAATTACTTTATAATGACAGTGAAAAGGTGGGAATAAGGGACTGCTTCATTTTATAGTGTGCATACCTCAGACTTAAACTGTAATAAGGGAGTTCTCTGTGACACTATGAAAGTATTTTATTATTGGTTAGTATTGACACCCTGTATGTGCTAAATCAAGTAATCTAACAGGGAATACATGAAAACATTTGCCCACTGATGTTGAAGTCAGAGGTGAAACATCTCAGCCTGTATTTGTCTTACCCTGGCGAGAGTGTGCATGACATTGCTCTTCTTGGACTTGGAGTCCCCAAAGTGATGGAGGTTGAAGGCACAGATTCTAAAATCTGAGGCTCCTTGAACATCACACACACCCACGAGGAAGGTGAGGAGGAGGAGGAGGGAAGAGGACCTCATGGCACAGAGCTGCAACAGACAGTAAACTTGTGTGTGAAGAAAATCTGATTTGATTAACCAGTAAATACTGTAAATACACTGTGGACACGAGCGATACAAGAGCAAACGTCCCATCAGACTGAAATGAGCTGAGGACAAATAGAAGCCTCATCTCAAGTGAATATGTGAGGTGTACTTCCCAAACTGTCAAACTATTCCTCTAAAGCCAACAAAAGTTACAGTAACATTAAAAATAACAAATATTACAGACATATATTTGTTGGTATTTGGTCTGTTGATACAGACACAGCAATTCAGATCTCCTAAAAAAAACAAAATTTGTAGAATTTATTTTCAGCCAAATTTCCTATAATTTATGAATCTATTTCTAATTATTATAATCTTAATAACTGTAATAGTCGTATTGATTGAGCTTCAGAATCAGCCTAAACACAACTGTCATAAGAAAAGCCCACTCACTGCTATCATAGCACACACGCACACACACACACACACACACACACAGAAGAAGATAGAGAGATTGTTTCATTCCTACCACACACGGTCACACTGTGTGAAAGGTCAAAGGCCAGCAGAGGCTTCAATACTGCTCTGCTCACTTTAGGTTCTTCAGGGTCAGAGGTAAAACAAACAGCATGTCATGGTTGTCATGGGGAAATCCAGCGTTCCACTGTGGGTTTCACAGCTGCACCAGAACACACAACGTTACACAATACGTAAACCTGTGAATAAGAGAGTTCAGTCAGCATGTTACAAACACTCCTGTGCTCTAACCGCTGCCAAACAATGAACACAGTCACAGTGGAGCATGACTTCTGTTTGTAGTATTCTCTCTCTCTGTCTGTCTTCGTCTCAAACACACACACACACACACACACACACACACATTCTGAGCATACAGACATCTCAGGTTACAGTTCACATTCCCCAGTAAAGATTTGTATCCTTGACTCACTCTTTTTAAGAATAAAGGTAAGTCAAGTTAGAGTAACAGCGACTTACCAGCTTGTTGGTTCTGCGCTTGTTTGTTTCTCTCCACCTCCTCTCTGGTGAAACGGGAAGCTGGTCGGGCCACTGTGTTTCCTGTGGGAGGGATTTATCTGACTGCACATAAACAGATACTCTGCTGGCAAGACAGTTTCCTCAGTTAATAAGTTAAACAATCACTTCTGACTTTTGTTTCTTTTATTCTGATTTCATATTTAAACCTCCAAGGCTGTTGTCACTGTGTGGCATTCATATCAAGATAAGTGGAGCTTAGATATCAGCATTCATGTAACATAATGTCAAAAAAGAATTACAGAAGATAAATGATTATACAATGTGTATGTTTCATTGTGCCTGTTAACAAACTGTTTATCCATTAACAGATTCAGTTATTTTGGTCTCAGTGTGGAAACAAATAGCATGTTTCCTCTTTCTTTCTCTCTTGATCACACACACGCACACTTCGACTGGTATCATGAAGAAGAGCAAGTGTGACACTCAGTGTGTCAAACGTGGTGGAAAGCTGTTATTACTGCAGACGGGGCTGTGTGTTCAAACGTCTCTCCACTGCTCACTGAAGAAGAACTGGGCGTGAAGAAAGTGTGGAGGAGGTTCAGAGTAGTCAGGAGAGAAACAGGGTGGAGTCTCTCTAAATATAGCCTCTTACTCATGTTTCCTCTTATTGCAAGACTGCATCAGACAAGATCCATGGTCACATGTCATGTTCAGTATTTAAGTGGTTTCCAATAATATATGATTATACAATAATAACAACAACGTTATTATAATACTAATAATCATCATCATCATTATCATCATCATCATACATAATAAGTGGTTTCAGATTTATCTCGTAGTACAAACTGTGAGACTTTAACTCACAGAAACAGAGTATCTTTAGAGGAGGTCAGCAGAAGATGCCACTCAGAGGTGTTCATCATCAAAACCGAGAACCTGAAGATTAAATTGAAATGCAGCTGTGTCTCATACATCTGTAATGAACATGGACCTTTGTTCGGAGCTGTTCTAATGTTGACAGTTTAGAGTATAAGGGCTTATAGAACACTAGGATTGAAGTACATGATGCCATTCCCATGCTCTTTTATGTCCCATAAGTTGTTGCAGACATTTTTGAGTTGATACCATTTATGATATAGATTTGGTTTAACATAATTTTGTACCGCTCAAGAATTGATAAAGAATTACCAGAAATCCCCACAAAATGCCACATAAAGACACCAAGACATTGATGAGCTCCATAGAAAAAACCCATGCTGGGATTTAATATCTAAAACTTTTGACATTTGAGGAATTCTGTAAGAATTGCATTTTTTCTGCATCATCACACATGAATACAGTTGGGCTCATTGGATCCATAACAGTTTCATTCATGCAATTCCAAGACTGTTTCGGGTTTATACTGCATGCAAACAACTGCCTGAGATTATCATAAAGTGGGTATGTCTGTAAAGGGTACTCCTGGTACCCATAGAACCCTTCTTCATTCACATATCTTCGGATTAAACATTAAGGGACCCCTTTGAAAATAGCCATGCCAGTTTTCGCTCAAAATGTAGCCCCCCGTGTCATAGGATTCTAATACCACCCCCCACACACATAGTGACAGGACATGTCTGAGAGCTCTAATTCTCTGTTTGACCTTTTATGAACAAAACCTCCAACATAAATCATATTAGGGAACTGGGAGAGGAAGTGTTGTGTTGTGTGTTCTGTTAACAGATACAGAGAAGAAGAGAATCTGTCCTCTCTAACCAGGCTGATGTAGAATGAGGAGATTATGTTAATATCCACAGAACAATTACATTCTTTACAGGTGCTAACGTAAATGTCGCGCTTTATTCCATCGAAATCTGTCCAATGTCAAGCGTCCTATGAGATGAACCATGACAGAGGGACAATACTTAAAGTTGTTCTTTAATTCTTCATTTAATTAGCAGTGTTTTTGTTATCCTTCTAGCACATTGGGGAGCCTAAATGTTGTTATTGTTCTGTTCATTGTAATCTATTTATAACATAGAATCTAAAAGGCTAGTGTACATTCAGTGTGTTTATGACGAGAGGAAATGTTAACTCTGTCTAAAAGGGTTTATTTGGTGTTTTTCCAATAACACGTGCATGTAGCAAAGTGTTCTAAATGGCTGCTTTACATATTCAAGATAATATAAGATAATGAGGAAATGGCGGTAAAAATGGTCAGGAACAATCATTGAGGCACATAAGCCCTGTTCTGAATTGTGTTACAATGTTTATAGACTTAAAAAAAAATGCATCCCCAGTAAACATGTTTGGGAAACTGCTCTATTGTTAGGTGACCCTCTTGTAGCTGCAGCTCACATCCAGTCCACTGTCACGTATTCTACAAAGGTAGATAGACGGGCATGGAGAAGTGAGAAGAAAAGCAGCAACGTCACATTGAAGAGTGTATGTGAACTGCTGTACCAAGTCATCTCAGGTAAATCCCTGTAATGACAGATTATTACTGTACTGTGGGTTGGTCTTTGAAAGGATGCATGTTTGTGGTGCTGCACCTTTGTTCATGAGCGTTAAATACCCAAACAGAACCCAGTGGGGGAGGGTGAATGGGACACTGTCAGAGATCCAGCACAGCATGGAACTTTCTGTGTACCACGATGAGACCAAACACCTCACTTCAAACGCTACCAAAACACCGACCATGAGCCAGTGGTCCTCGAAGAACAGACGATCATGCAGGAGTCCACATAGACAACCTGCTTTACTAGAGAACACACTCTGATAACCTTCAACAGGCTGCAGCAGACTTTAGAGGCTGAATGGAGCAAGCAGCAGATCAGGCTGAGCTTCTAGCAGGTAATCCTAGAGCATAAGATATGGAAGCCCAGCGTGGTTACCCTGCCATCAAACAGGTTTACCAGTATGAAGGTAGTGAAGGAAGACAGTCCATACAGAGCCTGTACCTTATATGCAATAAGCAACGTGTGTAATAAATACAAACGCACTTTATTCAGCCATGTCCAAGCTGTTTCTTTTAAGAGGGTTTCATAATGCTTTGTTTACTTAAAGCAACAGATTGTAGCTGGGCCAAAGACATAGGTCCCCTCTGGGACAACAGTCTGTCCCTGTCTATATTTAAAAAGGTAGCTCACGCACATCTTCAGGACGAAGCTGACGCTTCTCAATTTCACCATTTATTCTGGCCATATCGGACAAACACTGCAGAATAAATTGGTGACATTGTGAATAATCGACTTTGTCCTGCAGATGTGTGTGCTACTTATTTACCTTTAGGTAATCATCAATACTGTATGTACCTTATAGGTATGATTGCCTCAATGGGGATGATGCTTGATACGATGAAGACGAAGCCAGTTGAGAGAACGCTGGTTAATGTTGCAGCCCACACTGGGAACCTTCAGACAGCTGCAGTGAGGCGAGGAAGAGCCGGGTGACAGCATTCACTTCGAGCTGCAGCCATGAGTGTCCTACATACAGATGCAGCACGCTGTGCATCGATGTGTACTTTAGAGTCTCCGGTGAGGTCTGCTTCCATACAGGGAAGTGCTGCACACCTCGTCTGTCCCCTGTACAGGTCTAACTGTTAAACAGTCATCTAGAATATGGAATAACTTATTATTCAAAAGTGTGCTAAACCAACTTGTCTCAGTAATGCCAGCTTTACTCAGTGGGGTTAAATCGACACGAAGTCTCCTCATACAGGCGGACTACCTGTCCAACAAGAACTCACCTGCTGCGTTAAAACATAGTTGGAGATTATATTAAATTAGTAAAATAGTGTGTAATTAAACATGACCTGTTTAATTACTGCATGTAATTATCTAAGCAGTTACCCTTGAAGTTGGCATTCCCCATTTATATTAGCACGCTGCAGTGAAGGCTGAGACCATGTAATGGGACACGGATATTACTTTAATATCTTACTTGGTATTTTAGGGGCGGATGTTCTTTTGAGTCTAACCTGAAATGTGGTTTAACGTGTTCGAGCTGCTAACATTCCTTGAAAGATGCACCAAAGATCATTGAAACATATGTAGTTTATTAGACTTAGCCAACATGTTTGGGTTATGAATTACCTGCTGTTCACAAAAATTAAACATGAAGTAAACTGCTTCGTTTGAAGTTACACTTGTATTATACCTCCTGTACGTCACATGGGGTGGTGACAAGGACTCCTGTTGGGATTCAGTCAACACGAGGCTTCCTTCAGAAGACGCAGTACGTTTTGAGGGAATAAGATTTCATTCTCATTTACAGTATAAAGACATCACTGTATCACTCTACAACCAAAGACAATGGTAACTTCCTAACTTACCTCCGGACCCTGTGACCGTCTCAGTATAACAGTCAAAGGAATGGTTTAGGAGAGTCAGCAGTACAACAATGTCACTCTTGACATCTTAGTTTTTTTTTATTTTTTAAATCAGATAAAATAAACAAAAGTGTAAAAGGTCCTTTAAAATTAGAACATGAAGTCTGAGGGGTTAACAGCAATTTGTGTCAGAATGCTCTGATAACATCAAAGCATTAAGAGACAGCTGTTCATTTCTATGTGATCTCTGTACAAGTTTGGATCTTTAATATATTTCATAGCTGAACTGTAGACTCTTCTAATTCTCCAAATAAAATAGTTGCTTACATGGATGGACAAATGTTTTCTGAAATACCTTCCATTCAAAACCTTACACCTGACAGACATTTCGGTTTTACTTGTGTAATAATCAGGTAATGATGCATCATTTAGGTGAAAGTTTACAATTTCAAATGCGTGTCGTTTGATAGTTACGCTAACATTTTGTCTCAGTGGTCCCTTAAAGCACTCAGCACCTCCCAGCTGAGGACATACACAACCACAGAGTCACTGTCTGCAGCCATTGCACACCAGAAACACACTGCAGCATAACTGGTCGGCTTAATAAGCTGCAGGGTTATCAATTACAGATCTGAGCAACATAGAATTATTTAATCAAAATGGCCCTGTACCCTAAATCTAAGGCCCAATGGCTAACAGCAGAGATCGTCCATTCCTGTGAGTGCACAACAGCTGCGTTTGATTTGAGAACA